CTATACCACCAAAAGTGGCAACGTAAGGCTTTCGTACAACTGTGCAGACGAGTACGTGACACCGCGAGATTACTTCAGTTGAATAAATTGTAATGCAAACTCCGGAGTTAATGGCACATGGGTCCAAGTCTCAGACCTATGCAGAGAAATTATCTATGACTTGAGCGTATCGTCTATTAACTTCTCTCTCTAATAGCACACGTCGATCACGCGATCACTTAACACAAAAACGTGTTTGCATTACAATCAGATTGATGTAGACATACAGAACCTCTACCGCTAGAGAACAGTGTCTGTTTAATACTTGAATCCCTTTCATTTCTACCACGTTGTATCAAGATGGAGTTACATATGATAAGCCAATATGCGTACTCGTTATGTATAATTCCGGACTCGTTGCCATGGTTTCTTTGTTGTAAGCGTAGGTGTTTGGGCCGATACAGCTGTCGTTGTCAGGGAAAGGCTTAGGTGCGTCACTGATGTATCTACACTTTTCACTGACACGTGTCATGATTTGTTTGTTTATTTGTTTGTTGTTTAACGCCGCACTCAGCAATATTACAGCTATATGACGGCATTCTGTAAATAATCGAGTCTGGACCAGACAATCCAGTGATTGATATCATGAGCATCGATCCACGTAATTGGGATACGATGACATGCATCAACCAAGTCAGCGAGCCTGACCACCCGATCCCGTTAGTCGCCTCGTACGACAAGCATAGTCGCCTTTTAAGGCAAGCATAGGTTGCTGGAGACCTATTCTACACCGGATCTTCACGGGTCGACATGTGTCATGAAAGAATGCTATATGCATTTGGGGGCATTAAACTCACCCTAAAAGTAATGAACAGTCCCTCTTTTCCTTTTTTTAATTAAAGCATAAAGTTTAAATATATGATCCGATAAGAACTTTTCCAAAAATACACATAAGGGAAACACCGACATCGGATAATGGAGACATAATGAGAATCGGGGCTCGTTGATTCCACTTCAAGAACCCATATGTTCGAGTGTCATGGCTGATATAATATTTCTCGATAATTTGCATAATGACCTATAGTTGCATCAGTTTCACGTGCATAATATTTGTTAATTCTGTCTAATGTGACCAAACGCTCTATAATACACCAGTTACAATATAGTTTTATAATAGCAACAGCACAAGGTTTTCACTGAATATTTGAACGGTTTAGCAGAATGGATATTAATCAGTTTATCGTACTGGTACGTTAAGCACTGATGTTCCTTTACGTGAAAATATGATACAAACAAAATTGCTCATTGAAAGGACAAGGAATTTTTCATCAGTTTGTTTAAAATATTTCAAAATATTATATCGCTTAATAATTAGAAAATACATATTCAGTGTAAAACTAGATAGTGTAGACATTTGAGTGATACGTGACGTGTCTTGTTTGTTGATGTTGTTGTTGCACTTTGTTGATGTTGTTTGTTTCTCTTTGTTGGTGTTGTTGTTGTTGCACTTTGTTGTTGTTGTTTGTTTCTCTTGTTGATGTCGTTGTTGCACTTTGTTGTTGTTGATGTTTCAGCTCCACGACGATGACCTGTAACGAATCGGTTCTGGAACAGACTAAAAAGGTCATTGATAGTGTGATCGACGATCCTCGCCGTGGGGATACAATACCAAGCTTTCAGACCCGTTAAGATCCGGAGTAGAGTAGGTCCCCAGGAACCCATGCTTGCCGTAAAAAGCGACTGTCTGTTGTAAGTGGTGACAAGGGTTACGGGTGGTCAGGCTCGCTGTCATCAATCCCAATCCCAATCGATGCTTATGGTGTCAATCACTGGATTGTCTGGTCCAAACTCGATTATTTACAGACTGCCGTCATATAGCTGTAATATTGCTGAGTGCGGCGTTTAACAACAAATCCAACAAAGAAACAAAGCTTTCAGCCAAGTCGCGGGGGTAGTTCATACCCGAGCGCGTGAATTTACGCAAGTGATAAACATTGAGGACATGCGTGCTTTGGGCTTTCGTCCAACATAAGCTGACACATCATAGCGTAATTATATCACATATTCCACTCTGCTGCACGTGGTAACTGACATCAAATGGCCTCACATTGCTGCCAACGTGTCGCCTACACGTGCTGTATAACTCCGAACAATGATGTTTGTCAATTAGAGAAATCTTACATGCCAGACAGACTTGGAAGAGTCCAGTATATGGTGTTAACCCTAGAATAGGGTGTACATGTTCCTTACCATGACATCCCAGCACAAACAATTGGAAAATAAACACCATGTCTTTGAGGAACATGGAACGATGCTAAACAAACCTGACAATGGACCTGTGGATCGGCAGTAACCATGCGTCATTATCAACAGCAGGGGTGGAGGGAGTGCTGGCTGTCCAGTGAGCTGTGTATGCTTGACAGTCTCTGTGGGACAAAGAATCTGTGATTAATGTGTCAGCAGTCGAAGACAGATAATCGTATACAATCAATTCACTACTGGGAACCGCTACAGTGTATGTGGAGAGGATGTATGGATTCCAACTTCTTCATGAACTGTAAAGGCGACATTTCGGGATAGATTCATGACATCAATCACTGGATTGTCTGGTCCAGATTCGATTATTTACAGGCGCTGTCATATAGCTGGAATATTGCTGAGTGCTGCATTAAACAACAAACAAACAAAACGAGTCAATACACCAGCTGACACCGACAGTTAATATCACCATCCATAAGGCTGTTTCGGTGTAAGTATACAACTGTTTAGATAATTGAGTCTCACCTACATGTTGTAGGCTTGTTTACAGTATTTTTAATTCCCTCATTACATATGCTGATTTCTTCATCAAAAGAAGTATCCTCCCCCCCCCCCCCCTTCATCCATATTTTTATATTGATGGTGATTGTTGCTATATACAGGACGGTATTGGATGTGATATGCACTGTACATTATGAACACTCTATTTTTTTCTAATTGAACACTGCTATATTTTTCTAATTGAATAAATGAGAGAAAAAACTTTTTGAGTATGGTTTTATTGTTCAGCCAAACTGTGACTGCCCTGTCATTGTAAGCAAGTTGGTGTTGATATCGTTTTACGCTGCAGTCAGCAATTTTCCACCAACCACATGACACAGGCTGCAGTCTTAACAATAGACAGATATTTAGTCCCAGAAATAAACTTATCTTATTTAAAAATATGTTTCTACAAAATTTAAAAAAATAATCCAAATGGAGCCCAGAACAAGTCTTCTTACAGCTGCGGCAATCTAGACTTGCCAGATCATTCTAGACTTGAGTTTGACTCCTTTTTTAGCTCACTGGGTCCGAAGTACCAAGGTGAGTTTATGCCATACCATGGCGTCCGTCATTCGTCTGTCGTCCGTCCGTTTACAATATATTCAAACGACTTCTTCTTCTGAACCACCAATCGGAAATTAACGAAATTTGACTGGAGCCAACCCTAGGTGGTGGGGATTCAAAATTGTACAAATGGGTGGGCTGACCCCCAAGGGGCTGAGGGACAGGGCCAAATTGGGGTAATTTGGCGATATTGCTTTAAACAACTGGAACAACTCTTATCTGGAACTAAGAAATAGATATCAACAATTTACAGTTGAACTAATGGAAGGGCTGATCAACCCTCAAGGGATGGAGTAAAATAGGGGTAATTTGGCGATATTGCTTTGAACGACTTCTTCTCTGGAACTAAGAGACAGATATCAACCTTTGGTAAACACTATCTTGGATGTAGCCGTCCGAAGTGTTCTGATAGATCAAGCCTGAATCAGTGCACATTATCTGTTCCGATCGTTTTTTTTAAAGAAATGCATTATCATTTTAATCCGATACTAGCATTAAAAATATTTGCCCATCCATTATATTGTATTGCTTTCTGCTGTGTCGACTGGAAGCACACAACGCTGTAGACATTGGGAGCCAGTGTTAAATTAACGGACGTCATGTATCCAGCTAAAGGCATGACGAGTCTCCACAATAACGTATCGACTGTCGAAGGGTGTCAATTATGTCGCTATAATCAGAGCAAGTGTAATTACACGTGTAGCGACAGATAATAAGATCTATTGACGGACAGAGTATGCACTGATATGAGACCCGACCAGATCGGCATTCAGGCTGCGTCATCGTATGTGAGGGTAATAAATATGATCACGCAGGCCATTAAGATTTTGTATCTACCATTATCACGAAACAATTTAGGTCTATTCACAATTTAAAATCAATATGCCCATCCCACCCATTAGCAACGACACCATTGCGTTGATTATGTTTGTAATATAATCGATTTGTGACAGAAACAAGCGTTTGCAGAGATAGGATAAGTGTATCGAGTTGTATGGTCCGGAGTTTCTATTGTACCGCATGCAAATTGTGCAAATAAGTTTGATCAATTAAAAAATTTAGAAAATCTCTTCATTTATGTGGAAATATTATATCTTCATAGTTGTTGGTTGTGGAGCACATAACGGAGTGTTCGGTATATTAGCAACGGAAACAACAGATAGAAACAGATCAATCATCTCAGTCCATTAGGAGATAGGCGGTTGAGGTATTACCAGTCATTTACAAACTGAGCAATGTTAATTCATTGATTTAGTTGTAATATATAGTTTAAAAGCAATTGGTCGGCACTTACATGACAGAAGTAATGACAGCGCTGGAGCAACTGGGAGAACCTGTGTTAGCCACGGTCTCTTGCAGGTAGAATCTGAGTGTTTTTCTGGTGTGACCTCGGTCAATGCTGGGGACATAGTATCTCTTCTGAAAGTGTTCCTGGTGTTGGCTTCCGCCTTGGATTAAGACCGAATTTCTCTTGAAGGTGTTGCTTGGCATGAGACTGAATATCGTCTTTTGTTGATGGAACTGTTTTGAAGGTCCCTCTGAACGTCCTTCCGGTGTGGATCTCCGTCTTTGGGTTGAGAAAAGACTCACCCTGCTGTGTGAATGGCAGATTTACATTCCACTGTGGACGCCATTGCTCGGAAGGAGACCTCAGCCTGGCTATACTGACGCTGTGGTGGCCAACATCGGCAATAGACACCTGTGTTATGTACTGCATATAGGACTCTCGAACCTTGAAGAATAGACAACTGTTGAACAAGTACCCGTATCATACGCTTACACATTGCGTTCATGTAGGGCATTGAATCTGGATCATCCACACCAACATATCACGCCCTAATTGTTTAAAAATTCTGATTTCGATTTTGATGAAAACATGCAGAGTGTTCTATTCAACTATGCTGCTTTGATGTTGTCCGTGGTGTTTTTGTTGAGATGTTGCTGCTGTGAACCGGACCCTGAGAGACGGCAACAGCAACGACTGAAGCAGGATCTCCTGTACAACTACTCCACCACGGTGTCGCCCCAAGGGACGGCAAGTAGGGTCATGGTCTCTGTGTCATTCGCTGTCATAGCTGTGATAGCCGTGGAAGAAGCCAATCAGATGTTCCGCTTAAGTGGCGCTCTGACTATGTCTTGGACGGATCCTTGGTTGACATGGGACAGGAGCAATGATATCGAAAAGCTTGAATTTGAACCTGAGGAGATATGGACCCCAAATTTCGTGATTGCAAACGGTGTAGGTAGCAAGATTTCCTCTTTGTCCGCAAGTATGCCAATCTCCGTTTACCCTTCTGGCACGGCAAGGATGTTCATGATAAATGAATTTGAGACAATTTGTAATTTGGATGTGGTACGGTATCCCTATGATGAACAGGTGTGTCGCATAACGGTTATCAGTTTGTTTAACTTAGATTTTGGACTGGGAAATCAAGAATATACCAACATTTTTTCTACATACTTTACTGGTAGCAGTGAATGGGAGTTGGTTAACAAAACCATTAGCGTTAAACGAGTCGCTGATCGTATTCCGTACGTTGACCTCGAATTCCGACTACGGCGTCACAGCATCTTCTACACCCTAAGCGTCATCTTTCCAATGTGTCTTCTCTCCTTCCTCAACGCCTGTGTATTCCTGCTGCCCGCGGCCTCAGGGGAGAAGGTCTCCTTCCTCGTCTCCATCTTCGTGTCCGAAGCAGTGTTCCTCAACTACATTAATGACGCTATCCCCAAGTCCGGCAATGCCTCTCGCCTCACTATCTATCTGGTTCTGCTTCTGTCACAGAGCGCCCTGGCTCTGCTCGCCACTCTCCTGGTCATAAACACTCACCATCGACAGGGGGCGTTGCTTTGTCGCCTCCGTAAGAAGATCGCAGTTCAAAGCACAAGTCCATTGGAGAGAGGCGATGACATCAAGAACGATGAAGCAGCAGACAGACTCGATAAAATTATGTTTGTCCTGTTTGTGTTGATGGCCGCACTCTCAATACTTGTGTTTCGTATATAGCATACATACAAGTCACTGTGGTAACGTGATAAACGTTTTGTTTTTAACATTTGGTGGCCAGATTTTAATAATAATATGTCTGAATCTTTTGTCCCTTTGGACACTAATGTGATTGACAAGATTCAGAAAAAACATGGCAAATATGCAGACCCCGCTTTCGAAATGTAACGCTTGCATCTCGAGTATCAAGTTGTCCGACTCCCCATTGTTCTCGGTGCCTTAGATTTGGAACATCCCGATTATTTTACTGACATTGGGAGAGAACACGGGTTTGCTACCAGGAATACAACCTTTCTGACAATCTGGGTAATGCAGAAAGCTGCAGTGTTGGGGAGTCTTCACATTCTCCGAAAAGTTCTCGGTGGGTTTCTTTAGGCAGCGCTTCCTGGGAGGAGTCACATTCGCTGTCTGGGGTGCGTGCAGAGGGGGCAAGGGCCCTGAGCTGGTGATGAGCCTAACAAGTCTGTCTGTGTCAGGATCACCCAAACCCTCTTTGCTGCATTTTTTATTTTAATCTGTAAATGATAATAATAATAATGCCCAAATGACAACTTTTGGTACTTTACGTGATGTAAATACTTTGTAAAATATGCTTACATTAATACGATATTATGACGAAGACCATTGTGAACACGACACTAAAAGCCACGTATGCTTTAAAACTGTTTGAACTCGATTGCTGCACGTGTTCCAAGTACTCTGAATAACAACGTGTGTTCGTGTGTAGTGTATATGTATTCAGTATCAGATATGTCGTCTCAGTTTGATTGAGTGTCTAGAAGTTGTTTTTTGTCATATTGTGACTTGCTGGCCATCCACTATTGTCAGTTTTTTCAAAATAGTATATCATTTCACATTACACTTTAACAATTTGTAATTTGACATTTCTCTTAAGCAAGGTAGTAAATACTTTCTGTACTGCCTTTTCTTATAACGAGGTGTTCTTTTGCCACAAGGAATGGATTTATTAGTAAGTATTGCGATAAGCCAAAGAGGCAATATTCACACGGTCAGCGGAGAAGATAGTGTTGTCATAGGTACAGAACCTCACGTCACACAGTCAGTGGAGAAGATAGTGTTGTCAGTGGGTAAAGAACATCACGTCACACAATCACTGGCGAATATAGTGTTGTCAGTGGGTATAGAACCTCTTCACACAGTCAGTGCAGAAGATAGTGTTGTCAGTTGGTATAGAACCTCACGTCACACAGTCAGTGGAGAAGATAGTGTTGTCAGTGGGTAAAGAACCGCACGTCACACAGTCAGTGGAAAAGATACCTTTGTCAGTGGGTATAGAACCTCATGTCACACAATAAGTGGAGAGGAAACCGTTGTCAGTGGGTATAGAACCTCACGTCACACAGTCAGTGCAGAAGATAGTGTTGTCAGTGGGTATAGAACCTCACGTCACACACTCAGTGCAGAAGATAGTGTTGTGGGTAGGTATAGAAAATCACGTCACACAGTCAGTGGAGAAGATAGTGTTGTCAGTAGGTATAGAACCTCACGTCACACAGTCAGTGGAGAAGATAGTGTTGTCAGTGGGTATAGAACCTCACGTCACACAGTCAGTGGAGAAGATAGTGTTGTCAGTGGGTATAGAACCTCACGTCACACAATCAGTGGAGAAGATATTGTTGTCAGTGGGTATAGAACCTCACGTCACACAATCAGTGGAGAAGTTAGTGTTGTCATAGGTACAGAACCTCACGTCACACAGTCAGTGGAGAAGATAGTGTTGTCAGTGGGTAAAGAACATCACGTCACACAATCACTGGCGAATATAGTGTTGTCAGTGGGTATAGAACCTCTTCACACAGTCAGTGCAGAAGATAGTGTTGTCAGTTGGTATAGAACCGCACGTCACACAGTCAGTGGAAAAGATACCTTTGTCAGTTGGTATAGAACCTCATGTCACACAATAAGTGGAGAGGAAACCGTTGTCAGTGGGTATAGAACCTCACGTCACACAGTCAGTGCAGATGATAGTGTTGTCAGTTGGTATAGAACCACATGTCACACACTCAGTGCAGAAGATAGTGTTGTGGGTAGGTATAGAAAATCACGTCACACAGTCAGTGGAGAAGATAGTGTTGTCAGTAGGTATAGAACCTCACGCCACACAGTCAGTGGAGAAGAGAGTTGTCAGTAGGTATAGAACCTCACGTCACAGTCAGTGGAGAAGATAGTGTTGTGAGTTGGTATAGAACCTCACGTCACACAATCAGTGGAGGAGATAGTGATGTCAGTCGGTATACAACCTCACGTCACACAGTCAGTGCAGATGAAAGTGTTGTCAGTTGGTATAGAACCTCACGTCACACAATCAGTAGAGAAGATAGAGTTATCAGTGGGTATAGAAGCTCACGTCACACAATCAGTGGAGAAGATAGTGTTGTCAGTGGGTATAGAACCTCACGTCACGAAGTCAGTGCAGATGATAGTGTTGTCAGTGGGTATAGAACCTCACGTCACACAATCAGTGGAGAAGATATTGTAGTCAGTGGGTATAGAACCTCACGTCACACAATCAGTGGAGAAGATAGTGTTGTTAGTGGGTTTAGAACCTCACGTCACACAGTCAGTGCAGAAGATAGCGTGTCAGTGGGTATAGAACCTCACGTCACACAGTCAGTGCAGAAGATAGTGTTGTCAGTGGGTATAGAACCTCATGTCACACAGTCAGTGGAGAACAAAGTAATGTGAGATGGTATAGAACCTCACGTCCCACAGTCAGTGGAGAAGATAGTGTTGTCAGTGGGTAAAGAACCTCACGACACACAGTCAGTGCAAAAGATAGTGTTGTCAGTGGGTATAGAACCTCACGTCACACAGTCAGTGCAGAAGATAGTGTTGTCAGGGGGTATAGAACCTCACTTCACACAGTCAGTGCAGAAGATAGTGTTGTCAGTGGGTATAGAACCTCACCTCACATAGTCAGTGCAGAAGATAGTGTTGTCAGTGGGTATAGAACCTCACGTCACACAATCAGTGGAGAAGATAGTGTTGTTAGTGGGTTTAGAACCTCACGTCACACAGTCAGTGCAGAAGATAGTGTTGTCAGTGGGTATAGAACCTCACGTCACACAGTCAGTGCAGAAGATAGTGTTGTCAGTGGGTATAGAACCTCATGTCACACAGTCAGTGGAGAACAAAGTGTTGTGAGATGGTATAGAACCTCACGTCCCACAGTCAGTGGAGAAGATAGTGTTGTCAGTGGGTATAGAACCTCACGACACACAGTCAGTGCAAAAGATAGTGTTGTCAGTGGGTATAGAACCTCACGTCACACAGTCAGTGCAGAAGATAGTGTTGTGAGTGTGTATAGAACCTCACGTCACACAGTCAGTGGAGAAGATAGTGTTGTCAGTGGGTATAGAACCTCACGTCACACAGTCAGTGCAGAAGATAGTGTTGTCAGTGGGTATAGAACCTCACGTCCCACAGTCAATGCAGAAGATAGTGTTGTCAGTGGGTATAGAACCTCACGTCACACAGTCAGTGGAGAAGATAGTGTTGTCAGTGGGTATAGAACCTCATGTCACACAGTCAGTGCAGAAGATAGTGTTGTGAGTGTGTGTAGAACCTCACGTCACACAGTCAGTGCAGAAGATAATGTTGTCAGTTGGTATAGAACCTCACGTCACACAGTCAGTGGAAAAGATAGTGTTGTGAGTAGGTATAGAAAATCACGTCACACAATCAGTGGAGAAGATAGTGTTGTCAGTTGGTATAGTACCTCACGTCACACAGTCAGTGGAGAAGATAGTGTTGTGAGTGGGTATAGAACCTCACGTCACACAGTCAGTGGAGAAGATAGTGTTGTCAGTGGGTATAGAACCTCACGTCACACAATCAGTGGAGAAGATATTGTTGTCAGTGGGTATAGAACCTCACGTCACACAATCAGTGGAGAAGATAGTGTTGTTAGTGGGTATAGAACCTCACGTCACACAGTCAGTGCAGAAGATAGTGTTGTCAGTGGGTATAGAACCTCACGTCACACAGTCAGTGGAGAACATAGTGTTGTCAGTGGGTATAGAACCTCACGTCACACAATCAGTGGAGAAGATAGTGTTGTCAGTGGGTATAGAACCTCATGTCACGCAGTCAGTGGAGAACAAAGTGTTGTGAGATGATATAGAACCTCACGTCACACAGTCAGTGGAGAAGATAGTGTTGTCAGTGGGTATAGAACCTCACGTCACACAGTCAGTGGAGAAGATAGTGTTGTGAGTGGGTATAGAACCTCACGTCACACAATCAGTGGAGAAGATATTGTTGTCAGTGGGTATAGAACCTCACGTCACACAATCAGTGGAGAAGTTAGTGTTGTGAGTGGGTATAGAACCTCACGTCACACAGTCAGTGCAGAAGATAGTGTTGTCAGTGGGTGAAGAACCTCACGTCACACAATCAGTGGAGAAGATATTGTTGTCAGTTGGTATAGAACCTCACGTCACACAATCAGTGGAGAAGATAGTGTGGTCAGTGGGTATAGAACCTCATGTCACGCAGTCAGTGGAGAACAAAGTGTTGTGAGATGATATAGAACCTCACTTCACACAGTCAGTGCAGAAGATAGTGTTGTCAGTGGGTATAGAACCTCACCTCACATAGTCAGTGCAGAAGATAGTGTTGTCAGTGGGTATAGAACCTCACGTCACACAGTCAGTGCAGAAGATAGTGTTGTCAGTGGGTATAGAACCTCACGTCCCACAGTCAATGCAGAAGATAGTGTTGTCAGTGGGTATAGAACCTCACGTCACACAGTCAGTGGAGAAGATAGTGTTGTCAGTGGGTATAGAACCTCATGTCACACAGTCAGTGCAGAAGATAGTGTTGTGAGTGTGTGTAGAACCTCACGTCACACAGTCAGTGCAGAAGATAATGTTGTCAGTTGGTATAGAACCTCACGTCACAGTCAGTGGAAAAGATAGTGTTGTGAGTAGGTATAGAAAATCACGTCACACAATCAGTGGAGAAGATAGTGTTGTCAG